AAACGGGTTCAGGGGCAGTCTACCTCCCCGAACGAGATTTTGCCCTTCGGTTCCGCCCTGTCTGAAGGCTGAGAGTTGGACTGTTTAACTGGAATAGGTTGCAGCTAGGCTCTGTAGTCCGTTGACTTACAGATAGTCAGTTACTACCTATAATGTAGTCACTCATGGCGATGACAGGTTATTCCATTACATCAAAAACTATATAACACGTTTTTAGTTTTAGATTAAAACAATAATGAAATTGTAAGACTTAAATAATGAAGGAATGAGTTCAGTATTGAATTAGTTTGAATTGAAATGTTATTGCAACTAACATAACGGATATTTCCTTAATCCAAAATGTTGTTCTTGTCTAACAATCGCACGAACGTCATTTACGATACAATACAAAATACATTAGCATGAAGAGAATATTTTCTCTCTGAATTTCTGGGATTAATTCATTAAGTCATTATTTCGATTTTTATATTCCGACTATTATCCTTATTTTTGTTATCTCAACGTCCATCAATGTTGTGATAACAAAAAAAAAATGTGAACAATATAAATAGTGCAAATTATGAAGGTAATATTGTTAAATAATTAATAACCCTTGAACATTTTTCATGTAAGATATTCAAATAATACTTTTTGCTATAGTCTATGAGGCGAATTAAAAAAGAAAAAACATTGGTTAACGTTGATTACATACGCATTTAGATTTATTAACGTACTACTCAAGTCTATACTAGTGTCCCTCAGCGACAATCGAAGTCATTAGTGATTTTTAATACAGCTTAACAGCCACTGTTTCATGGCCGTCCTGGGTATGACGATGAACTACGTCCAACAGCATGGCCTCTGATCAAGAGGTTTTGAGGAGCGTGGAACGACTTAATTGCATGTATTCCCAGGTCCATCCTGAGCCGGATTGGTAGCACCTGTTAAGATTCCGCCTATGGACAAATACTTAACTCCCAAACTCGGGTCAAAATATTATGAAAGTATAAAAATATGTTTTAATACCAGCAATAAATTTTTTGAAGGAAAAAATATGACCAGCTATACATATTTGAAGGAAAAAAAATATTGCCAGCAATACAATTTTGAAGGAAAAAAAATATTACTAGCAATACATTTTTGAAGGAAAAAAAATAATATCAGAAATACATTTGAAGGAAAAGAAAATATGACCAGCAATAAAACCCATTGAGGTTTATATGCCGTAAAACAAACGAAATTGTTTCATGGATCGATCTAAGAGATTATGAAGTGTGAATTTCATAAAGTATATAGCTTATGGGATTTTCTCTGGATAAATAAAAAATCGAAACGATTTTATTTTAAATTCAGCAACAAAATTAATGTTCAGTAAACATTGCCTTTTTTTAGAGTAAGGTTCACCCTATATAAAGCCAGGTTGTAACTTGAGGTAGAGGGTTACGTTAAGGGTTAGTCTATATTTTAGGAGGGGAAGATAACGATTAACTCTTGACTTGAACAGGTGAAGATTGTAGTGATCAGGGAAACATTTTCTTGGAAATTTGTTCCACAGAGCAGTAGTTCGCAGGAAGAAGCTGTTCGAAGGGAACTTCTCACCGATGGAATACGGTAGTAATGTGTATGGTTTTTTACAATGTAAGTAGCAGGTTCTCGCTGTGAAGGTTTGACCTGGTGGAACCAAGTGAGGTCGTTCGTCCGAGATTATTCCATGGAAGTAGCGATAGAGCAGTAAGAGGCTCGCAACATATCGCCTGTGGGTCGGAGGTCGGAAAATAATTCTTCTCCACCAAGGACTCGGAGACGCTTTTGAACTCTGTCAAGACTGGGAAGTGAGGACTGGGCAACTCTTGGAGTCCTGTTCTTAAATAGACTCGTCAGGTTGAAACGTTCACATGGATGGCTTACGTGGTGCCAAGCTCATTCAGAGTATGCTACTACTCAGATCAGTGGTTAGAAATGGCTTGTGAACTGACGTTAGAGTATCACAAAGAAAAGCCAGATAACAGAAACGTATTCTGATGATATTCAACAACGGCAACAACTAAAGCGGATATCACATGTAAATCGAAGTGATAATATGTGTCTTCAAGATGCTCACATTCCACATTAACTTACGCAAAAGGCAACGAAGAAAGCGATAACATCTACTGAATTTGAAAAATGTAATTTCCTGAAAATCAGTATTAAGAGAAATATATAGACTTCGACCGAATGCAGCACTGGCTCTTCGGTCAATGAATGCCGAATGTTTCTTCATAAGTAAACGGTGAATATTACTACTGATCAAATACTTGATATACTAGAGTATAAACCATGTTTCTCAGGAGGAGAAATGTACGCTAGTTTGGAACTGTGTTCCAAGCGCGGGTATTATGTGCGAGTGATAAATCACCTGAGTGTTGGCTGAAAGATGTGATGCGAGAAGGGATGAAATGATAGCTTTTAGATTAATTAAGTTAATTTGGCAAGTCGTTTTAAATATAAGTTCAGAATTAGTAGAGAAACCGGCAATGTTGTTGGCACTAAAATCATCAGTCAAAGAATCAGTAAGAAAAAAAATAAAAATGAAGCCCAATCAAATGATATTAATAGAATCAGAATCTTAAAGCATATATTTAATTCTAAATTACACATTGTTCATCAGGAACCATATAAGACGTGTACCCGACTCAAGCGGAAAGCGATACAAGGTTGAGTTTAAAGTAGGAAGTGAGACGATGCGTACAAGGAAAAGATACAGATATTGCTTGAGACCCCTTGGCCCTTACACTTGTTGCGGGCACCACAGGTGACAAGAAATGGTTAAACCCTTCCCGAAGAAAAGGTATTGTCTATGAGGTGATCCTTTTCAAGTTAAGGATATTATCTCAAATGATTTACTTAATGGTAGTTCAATGAGAGAAGTGTTCTTATGACGTACGTGACAGCGAATCAATCATTTCTATTTTATTCCAATATCCGACACCATAACTTGTTTTTATATAATGTCATCACAGTAATATCGTTGACAGCAAAATGTCCTGGTAATTCTGTTGACATACATCAGTGACGACTTAATGTCGGAATAAAAAATATATAAATATTGGTTACATTCACTTATTACCTATTAATAAGAATTTATAATGCATTATTTCCTTTTTTTGTTCCACTCTCAACAATAATAATAATAATAATAATAAAACTTACGAGTGGCTTATATCATATGAAGTCTGACCTTATCTGAGAAGAAAAGCAAACAGAAATGTACTGTCAGATGTTTATTGTTCAGTTACTTTTTCATTTGGTTACACGAGTTGATTTTTTAACGGCTAATCAACAGTTATTTTTTTAAAAATTAAGAATAATTTTTTTGTGTGCAAAAAGATTTTTTTTTTCATTGACATTTATTTCGTGAACAGTGATCATTTAAGATACATCTATTTAACTCATAACTGGAGAGAAGACTGATTCATTAATTACCCAAGAGTCTTTGCGCGTAAGTGAATGTAACGAACTTGACTGGAATTCGAACTCGGCTCTCCAATTTCTTATCCGCTACATTTAAATTTGAATGCAATACTTAAAATATACTGTATAAGACATATGCATACATCTAATATATTTTATATATTTTTGTATATTAGATGACAACCAAAAGCCAAAGTCTCACAGCTTCAATTCTTTGTCTGGTTAACCGCACGGGCACAAGTAATAAGACATAATATGTGACTTTGAATTCCAAGATAATTTGTGACCAGCAGTAGTCGTGATTGACGAGGAAAGGATATTGGTTCGTGAAGTTATGAACGGCAACAATTCTACCTAATTTAACGTACATAAATGCTTATATCCGACAACTTTGGTAATGGTGGGGGATGAAATTAAATTTTACCTTCTACATTATTGTCACCATGTCACCTATTACTCTTATTTCTTCTGATTTTCCGTTTCAATAGAAATGATACTACTTTCAGGTTGTCTCTAAGAGCAGTAGGAATAAAACTACACGGCAGCGAATGTTGGACGATTTCCTAAAGATGAAGAAGAGACTCGAGGCGTGAGATATGTGATTCTACAGAAGGATGCTTAGGATATCATGGACCGAGCATGTGAGCACGGATGAGATCTTAGAGAGGTTGCAAACAAGGAGGAGGCTTATACTTAATATCAGGAAGATGCAGCTGAAGTTTCTGGGATATATGAGGAGGAAGGAGGGTCTGGAGAATCTGATACCCACCGGTCAAATAGAGGGAAAGAGACACAAGGGAAAACAACGCGTGATATATCTTGCGGACTTAAGTAAGTGGATGACAGAACGTGGTCTGGGAGAGGAAGCAGAGGGAAGGAACTTGTTGAGAGCTGAAAGGGACAGAGGGTGGGGAAGACCCATTATCGCCTACGTCCTGAAAGGACATGGCACATAAGAAAAAGATAGCATGAACCAATTTTATGTTGAATATTAATGAGTAGGCCACAAGAAGGTCAGTTTATCTTTGACAGGTGAAAAAAAAACAAATATATCTTTCCAAAATTGTCTAAAAACTGAATATAATTGTTTCTTGAAATTTTAAGTCAGTTTTGTTGTTCTTCACCGTGTTATTTTTAGTTTTCTTACTGAAAATCTTTAGGCAACATTTTTGACGATAGCTCATTGCCTTTCCCAATGGAAGTCGAGTATGTCTACTAGTTAATATAGTCGCTCTTTTTGTCAATTTTAGATGCAATTTATATTTCACGTTGAATGTGGAAAAAATTAGTTCTATTTACTTGTAACATAAATTCACTGTTCGATTCGTATTTACGGCTTACCAAACTACTGTTGCAAAACAGGAAATATTTTTAGATTGTAAGTATTTTTTTCACAAATAATAATGATTAATATTACAAGTCTTACTAATTAACCCATAGACGGGGAAGAGGCGGATTCATATCTTCCCCATGGGTATTTGCGAGTAAATGATTATAACTGAAATCGGAAAACGGATCTCCGATTAACAACACCGAGCCATTATATATCGCACCACCCGCACATCCAATCTTACAGAACCAGCTATTCCCAAGCGGTCACCAATTGAGGTACTGATTAGGCACGATGTTGATTAATTTCGGTAATCGTAAGGGAACAGGTGTTTCAAAATGATATGCCGGTGTATTTTCAAGTGTTGATATTTATGCCGATAGGTCTTAAGACATTGTATTGTTTTAGATTCTGTGAGAAATAGAAGTCCTACTAGAATTGTTGACCGCCACAATCTTAACAACATAAGATATGCAGACGACACAGTGATGACATAGAAAGAAAACTGCAAAAACTCCTACAGAAGGTAATGAAGGAAAGCTAGAAGAAAGGACTAAACATCAATGTCAAGAAGGTAGAATGCATGGTTTTTAGCAAAAGAATAAACCCAAAATGCAAATGACAAATCGGAGATACCAATAACATTTAAATATCTGGGTAGTGTTTTAACAGGGGTGGGAAAGTGCGACAGTGAAATCCGGATGTTCATTGGATATAAACAAAGATGCTTTGCAAAAGCTAAGCAAAGTATTAAGAGACAGAAATTTTTTTTTTAGAAACATGAAAACAGCACTGAAATATTACCTCAATAGTCTGTCCTCTTCTATGTCGGTGAATGCTGGACATTCTTCTCAAAGATGAAGCGACTTGAAGCAACAGAAATGTGGTTCTAAAGAAGAATGCCGAGGATACTATGGATTGAATATGTGAACAACGACGAGGTTTTGGAGAAAATGGAAATTTGCATTTAATATCGGGAAAAATAGTTGAAGTTTCTGGAGCACATCCGAAATCTGATACTCAAAGAACAGATTGAGGGAAAGAGATACTGTTGGAAACAATCCATGAGATACCTAATGATATTGAGTATATGGATGGCGGAACAGGCTTTAGGATAAGTAAGAAAAAGACAAAATTTATTAAGAGTAACAGACTGTGGAGGGCCATGATCGCGTGCGTACGTCCTGAAGGGACACGGCACATAAAGTGAAATTCTTTTAGAGTGATATAACACTTGCTAACATTTTTTTTATATGTTTTATTCAGAGAAATATAGAACATCAGTATCAGGTCATCAAAGTGTTTTTCGTGATTATACTGTCCTTCGCCTTTCACAGCAAGTGATTAGTCAATCACACACAGAGTCGGCTAAAATAAATCAATATTCACCTCCTTTCAATTAAGAAAGAAATCGTCTAATTCTTCGGACATTTTCAGCTTAGTGGTGCTGATAAATCTGATGATATAGAAGACAAATCTTTTCGTAAAAATATCTATCAATAAATAAAAATCATTCGGTGTTTAATATACAAAGGTTTCAGGTTGGCTAATTTTATCCCTAATGGCACTGCACGGTGTAAATTTACCCCAATTTTTTATAATTTCTATCTAGCCTGATTCAATAGTATTCACTAAACGACATTATTTTTTTCAGCTTTCTATATTGGTTATTTGCCATCACCCGCCTTCACAAAATTTTTCACTTGGTACCAAAAGCAAAATTTTCTTAGGACACCATTGAGCATAATACACCGGCATATCATCTGTGCCCTCTGAGCCCAAACTTTTGCATCTCAGATAGTGAGGCGTTTCTTAGAATATTCGAAATCTATATACCAGTATTCTTTTTAAATATTCCTAGTGCTCCTACTATTATTGGAATACTGGTTGTTTTTAAGTGACCCTTTCTTACAGTTTTTATTTCTAGGTTATAAAATTTTATCAAATTCCATCGCTAAGATATTTTTAGCAGACGATTATATCTATAAGGTGACACTTGTGCTTTCTAAAGATTTTTTTAATAATATATTTAGTCTATCGGATTAGAAATCGGTACTGAATTGTGTAATATCAGTTCTCCCATATGGCAGTGCTTGCGGGAAAATCTTTTCACAGATGAAGAAATATCAGAAATATGGTTCTCCAGAAGAATGCTGAGAATACCATGGAGCAAACATGTGAGGAATAAGGAAGGCTGAGAGAAAATGGGAACAAAAAAAAATACACATATGCATGAGATCAGAAAGAGAGTTGACAGGGCACAGAGAGCAGGAAAGAGCGTGTGAGAGAGAAATAAAGAGGAAAAGAGCGAGAGAGAGAGAAATAAAGAGGAAAAGAGCGAGAGAGAGAGAAATAAAGAGGAAAAGAGCGAGAGAGAGAGAAATAAAGAGGAAAAGAGCGAGAGAAATAAAGAGGAAAAGAGCGAGAGAAATAAAGAGGAAAAGAGCGAGAGAAATAAAGAGGAAAAGAGCGAGAGAAATAAAGAGGAAAAGAGCGAGAGAAATAAAGAGGAAAAGAGCGAGAGAAATAAGGAGGAAAAGAGAGAGAAATAAAGAGGAAAAGAGCGAGAGAAATAAAGAGGAAAAGAGCGAGAGAAATAAAGAGGAAAAGAGCGAGAGAAATAAGGAGGAAAAGAGCGAGAGAAATAAGGAGGAAAAGAGAGAGAGAAATAAAGAGGAAAAGAGCGAGAGAGAGAGAAATAAAGAGGAAAAGAGCGAGAGAGAGAGAAATAAAGAGGAAAAGAGCGAGAGAGAGAGAAATAAAGAGGAAAAGAGCGAGAGAGAGAAAAATAAAGAGGAAAAGAGCGAGAAAGAGAGAGAAATAAAGAGGAAAAGAGCGAGAGAGAGAGAGAAATAAAGAGGAAGAGAGCGAGAGAGAGAGAGAAATAAAGAGGAAGAGAGCGAGAGAGAGAGAGAAATAAAGAGGAAGAGAGCGAGAGAGAGAGAAATAAAGAGGAAAAGAGCGAGAGATAGAGAAATAAAGAGGAAAAGAGCGAGAGAGAGAGAGAGCAGGAAAGAGAGAGAGAGAGGGAGCAGGAAAGAGAGAGAGAGGGGGAGCAGGGAAAGAGAGAGAGAGGGAGCAGGAAAGAGAGAGAGAGAGAGGGAGCATGAAAGAGCGCGAGAGAGGGAGCAGGAAAGAGCGCGCGCGAGAGAGAGAGGGAGCAGGAAAGAGCGCGCGCGAGAGAGAGAGAGGGAGCAGGAAAGAGCGCCCGAGAGAGAGAGAGAGAGGGAGCAGGAAAAAAGAGCGCCTGAGAGAGAGGGAGCAGGAAAGAGCGAGAGAGAGAGGGGAGCAGGAAAGAGCGCGAGAGAGGGAGCAGGAAAGAGCGAGCGAGAGAGAGAGAGAGGGAGCAGGAAAGAGCGCGAGAGAGAGAGAGAGGGAGCAGGAAAGAGCGCGAGAGAGAGAGAGAGAGAGGGAGCAGGAAAGAGTTATAGGGCACATAATGAGGAAAGAGGGATTGATTGATTTTCTTTGGTGGGATATCAACCTTTATGGGTTATGTAATGCCTAAATCTAAATATTTCGTACATAATTTTAGACGTTCAGAATAAAAAGGTATGCTTTTTAGATGTTTAGTTTGTTGATCATAAAATGTATTGCTGGTAATTTCTTTTTATATAAAATATTTCTAGGGTTGAATTTTCATTATTAAAGTTTTTTTCTTTTGGGAGGTCACTATTTGCCAATAGATGGGACCCTAACACATGCTACCACCTCGGGTCCAGGTGGACCTGGAAACAGCAGCTAAGAGGTTGCTCCATGTTCATCATAAGTTCCAATCTACCAATCAGACGCCTTCCTCCCGGATGTATTTTATCCTCATACCGAGGACGAGAAAGAAGGATTAGAAAATTTGTCACGCACAAGGCATATCGAAGGCGCGAGGGATGTAGGGAAACAGCGCGTAACTTACGTAACGAGTCTGTGTAAATGGTTGTCAGATCATGGTTTAAGATAGCATAAAGACTAAATGTTTTAAAAGCTACAAATGACATGAGATTGTGAAGCGCCATAAAGTCCTGAAGATTTATGAGACACAAGTGAACAAGTCTGTTGAATTGTATAATGTAGTCGGTATGTATGGTGAAGTCACAGAACACTGTCACTTATTTACCTTCAAGCACCAGTGGTTGTTTGTGTTCATAGCATTTTTCTACGTAAGGAAAACTATAATGTTGGCCATCTTCCAATACAGTCATCTCTCTATCCAATTAGGTCTATATTTAAATTCATTTGTAGATAGAATAGAGCACCTAAGGATATGTTGTCCAGCGTTTTTACCAAAACAAAATGTTCGATCTGTCCTATTCATTAAACTACGTGCGTGAAAGGATATTCTAGACAGATTTTGATCTTGAGCGGCTTGGATGAATCCATCTGTTTTTAGTTTCAATCAAGATTTCCGAAAACCATGATAGGTCAGAGTTTTTTCAACATCAGGTCTCGGTTCGTCACAATGGAGAGCGGTTATGTCGTAACGGGAGAATTTACTACTGCTGAGTTAGAAAAGTTTAAAAGAAATGGATTACACACACACACACATATATATATATATATATATATATATATAAACAACTTACAAAAGAGGAGAAAGAAAATTATAATTTAAGAGTAAAGAAATAATTCAAACAGGGAAGAATACGTATTTAGCTGTTGTTTGTGTGTGTGTGTGTATATATATATATATATATATATATATATATATATATATATATATATATATATAGTGAGAGAGAGAAATACTGAGAGACAAAATTGAAAGAGAAAAAGAGAGAATGAGAGAGAGAGAGAGAGAGCCTGAAGTAGAGCGCGTGAGAGAGAGAGTGTGTGTGTGTGTGTATGTGTGTGTGTGAGAGAGAGAGCCTGAAATAGACCACGTGAGAGAGAGAGAGGTTGTGTGTGTGTGAGACAGAGAGAGCAAGAAAGAGCAAGAACGAGAATGTGAGAGAGCCTGGGAAAGAGTGAGAGAATGAAAGATATCATCACGTGGCTTATTTGAAATTAAGTAGTTCCGATTGCCGGGAATTAAGAGGCTTTCCTAGAAATCCGTGAAAATTTTTTTTTTTCATTTCACCTGACAAGTAAGGAAATAAAGTTACTTACAAGAGTCTACTGATTTGAAAGAATAATAATAAAAAATATTAAGGAGGAAGGACAATAAAAGAACAGGTATTATGAAGACAAGAATTTAACGATTGCCATTGCATTTTCATTTTATAAATCAAAGTTGACTGGGACGTAAGAAACCAGAAGAGAGTTCCACAAGCGAGAAGTGCGATAGAAGAAACTGTCAGCATAGAACTTACGTTTTCATTTAACAATTTCAACTATTTAAAAGATGAG